GCCGATAAAGCTCCTAAAAATTCGGTGGTTGGCTATATCGACTCGCGATGTATAGGACTGGTATAGGTTACCCAAGACGAGTACAGACTTACTTAGAATAAAATAATTAATAAAAAGACAATATAATTATAAAATTTCAACGATTGTCGTTAATTCACAATGAATAATAATTAATAAGAATAAGTTAGGGCGCCCCAAATAAATTATAATGATAGACAGCTAATATTATACAGCTATAAATCACACTATTACAAGACAGCTCCGATTATCGGGCCATATATATTGTACAAAATACATAAAATGTTGCAACTCTATAATAATAGAATGCAGTATACAAAAAAAGGGGGGGAAAAACAGCTATAGTTACGACCCGGTTCCAATGGTGTCGCCAATTCACCACCACGCGGATCCGCAGCTATGGTCGATGAAACAGTCCGTCCGGTCCCGCACCTGCACGCTTWTCCAGTKTCCACGCAGACAGCACAAGGTGGTTGTAATTGGCAAAGGTGCCGACAAATGGCGATGACACTGGATTTGCTGGATGTACCGCCAGGTACGCAGACAGACGACGAAGGCCAGTGGCCAGTGGCCCAACAACAACAAAACCAAACAAGGCACGCGACGGCGAACGAGCACAACTATGTTTCAAGATCGACCGCTCGGAGTGGAACACACAGACAAAGTCGTCGGGCGCCGGGCTGGCTGGCGGCACGGTCAGCAGCAGACAACAATGTCGTCGGGCGATGGGAGGGGGGAACTTGCTGGATGACACTTATCTCATCCGCCACCACGCAGCTGTGGTGTACGGGACAAGTTTATGCTGTCGCACAACGTTCCACGTTCGAACAATTTTAGTGCTACTTTTAAAGTTTTGGTGCCATGTTTTGCTAATATTATTAATTCAACGCTTTATTTTATATTTTTCATAAATCTCATGAAAAATGGTAATCATTAATGCGAATCAATAAGAATTGAAATTTTTTTCTTATTTACTCAGATAATTTTGAATAGTTGCATACAAACGATGTCATAATATTCAAGGTATCAATAGTTAATCAGTACATACAAATTTTTTTTAACTGCATACGGAGATTTTAGTTTTTTTTTTATAA